GCTGTGGTAATCGCCGACCTCTCCGTGTGTTGCCGTGGCTTTGATGATGTCAAACAGGAACAAAATTCTCTCTGCGAAGCTGGTGCTGTTTGAGTCATGAAATCGAGAAAAAATCTTCTCCTTTTACGGGGAGGTGCAGATGTGAACGGCGATGTTTACCGCGAATCCCCACTGAGCTTGTTTACGAATTTCAAATCCCGACTTGTCGATGGAGAAAAGGCTCCAGAGCGGGACACCCGTCCGCCGCCGTCTTCTCCGCCGCCGCCCCGGAGGATCGAGGCCGGCCATGTGACCGTTCTAGAAATGGCATCTTTCAAAGCCAAATTCGAGATGACAGGCTGGGACCAGGATCCGGAGGGGCATGGGGAAAGGTAATTGGAGCACGAAACTGCCTCAGCTAGGGGGCTCTCTTGGTGAACCCCGACTATCCTGTTGCCCAACGCCCTACGGTCCGCGGAGACACGGACGATAAAACGTTTTGCTAGTCACGTTGGCAAATTTGAGGCTGTTTTGGGCAGGACCGTTTAGGAGGGATCGGGAGAAGGCGGCTGCGGCTCTGATCGCCTCAGGCCCGTTCGTCCTGCGAATGGATGGCCGTGATCCATCGGTGCCTCAGCTGCCAGGCTACGACATGGTCGTGGTTCAGGTGCTGGGTTGAGTATCTGTGTCAGATATTTGAGATTTCACTGGGCCTGCCTTCTTTGCGAATATTTATCACTAAGTCGTCTGGCTGCCCACCCGCAGCCTGACCGCAGCTTATCCTGTCCAAGTGTTGAGTTTGCGGAAATGCGAATTATCCTGATTTACAGCCTCTTGGATCGTGCTCATGAGAAAAATGACAAGCAAACGTCGGTGTTCACGGGACAATCCGATTGGAGCGCCTCTTGGCATCTTCATCAGGTCAACCTTCTTCACAACGGTCCACCAGGGACCGCAAGCAATGAAAGCAAAAGAAATCCTTCTCAGGAAGCTTTGGGTGTTCAAAAATTCCCTAGCCAGCCTAGGCCGACTAGGAGTGGTCATAGTTATAGTTTTCAACTAGCAAAAACACGATCTCGGACGAATCCTCACTGATACGCGTAAAGCCCTTGCACTCGGATGAAGAAGAAAGAGAGAGAAACGAGCAAGACCCGCGGCACGAGCTGGGGTTTATATGTGTTTTCCATGGTGGGTCACGGATCAGTAAAAGGTACGTACCGGAAAAGCTCCAGGTGAATTTTTTCAACAGGCAACAGGCGCGGGGTCATTTGCTGGGTGAGTCACTGCGCGCAAACACCAACAAGGTGCCTGAGACGGAAGGAAGACTGAGGTTTTCCAGCAGCAAAGTTCTCTGCCTGGAGGGACATGAAGAGGCAAGGGCCACTTGAGGCCACTGAGGCCACTGAGGCCAATGAGGCCAAACTCGGTGACGCCCGTCATCAAGCTACCTTGCTGCTTGCCTTACCTAAGGTATGCAGCCCACGGCCCGAATCTAGGGATGGCGGGGTAGAACATCCCACCTTCGCCTTTCGGCCGCGACTGGCTTACACTGTCTCTACCATGAGTTGTGCAAAGTATTCCATGATGAAGTTGCCGACGACGTCTTGATTCTTATCTTTATCAGTCAGTTAGGCTATGACTTGACGAGAGATGCCACGGTGATTTTACGAACGCAAAGCATCCTTCAGCGCCTCCGTCGTAAGGTACCCTTATGATCATGAAGGTCTCCGTTCTATGGCTTCCTATTCCGTGCAGCCTCGGTTTTACTGAGCGTACCTTCGCAACCCAAACGGATTATCCCCTTTCACAATGACTCTAAGCGCATCTTCTTCAGATGACGGGAGAGCAAGCGCAGTAAGGGTGCCATTTCCGTGCATCACAGACGCTGCCTGTGGAAGTCGATCAGGGTGACCTCAATACTTCAGACTTCGTCGGGTCTCCAGCGAGTTCCCCCGCTAGGTGCTGCCCGCTGCCGCGTTCGGCCGGTCTGGGCTTTCCCTTCCTCGGGCGCCCTTCACTGCTTTCCTGCCCAACCACGGACCCCCCTCCTGTCCACAATTGGTATCTCCGAAAACCAAACTTCAGGCTTGATGGGATTTTTTTCTCCTCGACCAACATCTCTGTTAATCGCCCGCTTCTCTAAGCTCTGCTTCCGTCGCCCATTGTCGACTTTCGACTTTTGATTTCTTGCCCCGCGCCTAGCACATATACCATCTGACATCATGCCTCCTAAGAAGTGGGGTGAGTAGCTACATGTCCCGCACACGCACACAAATTATCCTCAGAGGCAAAATGTCACGATGATCTGGCTGGACCGGTTCTCGCGGCCATGATCGTCAACCCCACTTCAGCATCATGTCCTCATCTTCTTGAGCTATGCTGACTGGGTTTAACCGTAGACGAGGAAGAGAGCGGCGAGGAGAGCTCCAGCTCCAACTCGGCCCCCGTTGCCGCCCTCCGCCGTACAAAGTTCGATGACGAAGAAGACGAGGACGATGTACGTTCGCCGACCGACCCGCAACGTCGCTGCGCGCACACACTGACGCTTTCTTGCAGGTCCTTGACTCCTGGGATGCCGCCGAAGACTCCGAGGTCGAGCGCGAGAAGGCCAAGAAGGCCGAGGAGGCCAAGGCCAAGGCTGCCGAAGAGGCCAAGAAGAACAAGAAGTCCAAGACCCAGCGCATCGCTGAGCTCAAGGAGGAGCGCGCTCGCCGCGCGGAGGACGAGGAGTCCGGAGAGGAGGAGACCGAGGCCGAGCGTCGCGAGCGTCTCCGCCGTACTGAGAAGGAGTCCGACATGAAGCACGCCGAGGACCTTTTCGGTGATATCGGAGTTCCCGCCGGCCGCAAGGCCACTCTCGCCGGCACCGCCGTCCAGATCGACCCCAACGATCCCAGCAAGACGGCCAACATCGCCCAGATGCCTCTGTTCAACCCCCAAACCAAGACCCAGTTCGAGCACCTCCGCACCACGCTGACGCCCATCCTCGTCAACAACGCCAGGAAGGCTCACTACGGTCTCTTCATGCAGGAGTTCACCAAGGGCTTGGCCAAGGAACTCCCTAGTGAGCAGATCAAGAAGATCGCCTCTGCTCTCACTGCCCTCAGCAACGAGAAGATGAAGGAGGAGAAGGCCGCTGCCGGTGGCAACAAGAAGAGCAAGGCTGCCAAGACCAAGGTTTCCGCTGTCGTTAGCCGTGCCAGTGCTGCTGACACCGAGACCTACGAGGACGATGCCTTCGGAGAGTAAGTTGCACTCTTGAGATGCTGTGAACGTGCCCCGAATGCTAACCCTTTCTCCAGTGACGACTTCATGTGAAGCAGCAGGCAGGGTTGCATCATTCTCCCATACCCAGCGTCCGGCCCCTTACAGTCCTGCGAGCCCGCTACGTGTCGTATAATTCGGCGCGTCTGCGTGCCGAGATTGGCGGCGGCGGCGGCGGCTTGATTGTACGCGATCATGTCCACACGGCACAACCCGTTGCGTCATTCGCACGTGGGAGCAAGGACCCTTGAGGGATCGCAACCGTTTGGGGCCGCTGGAGATTGGGCCAAAGCAGAAAAGATGACGATGTTGGTTGGCGGAGTAGTGAAAAATGGCGTCAATTTTGGCGGACGCTGAATAGATCATGGATGGTGTTCTTCGCACTCCATTCCGTTAGGGTCAGCATGCTACACTGCGTTTTCCGCATGATATCAGGAGCACGACGATTCATGATCGATGGATAATGGGACTTGGTAGATCAAAACAATATGATAGATCCGATTCATCAAAGATTCATTTACAAGACTACCTGCATAGCCCGACACATTCCGCATAGATTGGAGGCGAAGTACTAAGTGTATGGCATCCAGTGCTTGCTAAGAGAAGCGGCTTGAACTTCGAATTCGGTACAAGTAACCCCTAGTAAAGGGATTAACTCATGAGTTCTGAACATGCTCAAAAAAGTAAAGATCTCGCAATCCATCTTTTCGGTGATTGCACGAGCAACGACTACAGCCAGCAGGAGAGAGACTCCCTGTGATTCTGAGAGCAGCATTGTCATGAGATACTTGATCAAATAGAAACATGTTCCGTCAGATTCCTGCGCAGTATGGCCAGCGGATACAAAGCTAGCATGTAGTCATTGATCCAGGCATAGAACAGGTGCCTCTCCATCCGCCTACTTGAGCTACACCAGTTTCGACCATTTTCTAGACGAAGGAGACTTTGGGCCTAATATCACTCGACGGGTGGTTTGTCTTCTCCACCCCGGGCATGCTTCCTCAGCTTGAAGCGTGTTAAATGTTTAATGCCTCGTTCGCTGTGCTTTCCAAGCATCCGGCGATACGCCTTCTTCTCTAATGCATGTCAAATGGCTATCAAAAGCAGAGAGAGAGAGAGAGAAGGGGGGGGGGGGGGGGGGGGGGGGGGGGGAGGGAACTTGAATCGCCGTGATAGGCGCAATCATTTCCTGGGTGAACCCCAGAAGACCATGCTTTGGTATCCTTGGATGGAGGTCGAGATAGCACCCTAGGCTTCAATATCGCGCGTTATGCATAAAGTAGGTGGTCAAGGGTGTCGCGGGGAGGGTGGAGAGATGTTTAGAACCACGAGCATGGTTCGGATCCCGGTTTGACGATGTGGGCGTCATGCGCGAGACCTTCAACACAAATGCGACAAGCGCAGTGTCGATGTGAGTCACAATCGAAGCGGAAAAGGCAAGCCAGTTGGTGCGAAGTTGCAAGCACATACGAGTCAAAAGTTGGAAATAGGGGTATCAATTATTTTGTCGTTACCTCTCCCCCTACCAAATGTGTATCCCATGTATCGTACGGAACGCCTCGCCGCCCAGAAAGCAAAATGAAGGAGTGAAGTGGGGTTTGAGAGCCGACCCTTTCTACTCCGAAAACATGCTCAGCCGTTATATATACACATTTCCGTCTATGCAAAATGAACGCCCTTCTTTTTAAATCATGAGGCTCGTTACCACAGCCGTGCCCGCCCCAACTGGAGCAAAAGCTGATGAGAGGAGAGGTGGACTAGATGACGTTACCGGCCATGCCCATGAAGAGGGCATGGACAGCAAGACTCAACGTCCAGAAGCCAACCTTCTTGAGTCGGCGTACGCGGCTTTGCTGGTTTTCGACATCGCGGGCAAAGGCCTCGTACGTCTCGGCTGACATGTCATCCATCAGACCGCAGTCGAAGATGGTCCAGCTGCCGTCAAAGTCACTAGCGCGTTTGACTATGCGACAAGTGATGGGGATGTACGTCTTTTTGGCGTTGATGTAGGCCACAATGGGGCGAACAAGCGCCTGGTTGATGTATGAGATGTCCTTCGTGAAAAGGGGCACGGCGGCCTTGACATCGTTCATGTGGATACGAAGATCCATGATCAGATACCGCCTATCCCCGTCCATTTGCTCGGGCTCCTCTTCATCGTGTGACTCGGGAGATTCCGGAGTGCTGTACCCGACAACCTCTGGTGCAGCCTGAGAAAGATGACCCGATGTTGGGGTTGGGCCCAAAAGTGCGGCGGCGTCGATAAGAAGGTCCTTTTGAAGAAGGCGCATGCGGTTCGAGATGACCACATCCTCGAGTTGGTCGTAAAAGTCTGACATAACCTTGGTAATGCTATCGTCCAGGTCGGCAGGGAACATTACATCCGCTACAATGTCAACATTTCCCTCATAAATCCAGCCGAAAGGACCTTCAACGCCTCGGTTGAGGTGGTCAATCTTGAGGCCGTCGATGCGAAGGCGGCTAAACTTCTTCCATGCCGACGGCTCGCCAACATCGTTAGCAGCGTCTCCGTTCTCGCCAGCCACGGTGCCATGAACCTGACGAGGGTGAATGGTGAATAGAGAGCCATCAAACGACCCAGACATGTGTGTTGCTGAGAGGAAGTCGTAGAATAACCACTGTTTCCGGAGCTGTGGTAGCTCGCAGGAGAAGATGCTGACCGAGAATGGCCGGAAGCCGTTGGGCTGGTGAACCGTTACGAGAAGATCCTCGAGTTTGAAGGAATCGATCTCAAAGTCGCCAGGCTCGTGGGTGTGACGGTACGAAAGAGGATCGACAACCTCATCCGACCACACAACTGAGGTGCGGTCCACTACGCCCCGGACTCCCTTGACCTCGACATCTTTCAGGAAACCCTTTCCGTTCCACCATTTCAGGAACGACAGGGTGACGTTCACGGTAGCTATAGTGACATCGTACTGCGTGTAGTTGCCGTCGTCCTCTTCCAACACTCTAACATCATTCTCGTCGTGCTTTTCGGCGGCTGCCACAGCCGCGGCATTCTTCGAGGAACCCTTGCTAACTGAGGATGTGACCTGTCCGGGCCGTCGTGATACGAAAACGTTTCTAAAGGTGATGACGCCGTCTCCCCACTTGGGGACGATGGCCGACTCGAAGACCACCGTGACGCCAGCAGACTCGGTCAGAGAATCACCGACCCATTTCGCGAGAGTTTCTAGGACAGAGCATCAGTGACTGGGGTGCCTAGAAGCAGTGCAGTGAACGTACCCTGTGCAAAAACCGTGTTGATACTGAAGATGATGAGGGAGAAGAAGGTCGTGGTACCGACGAGAATCCAGACAAGGTGACCGAACAGGAACCACGATACGAAAGCACCCCATTCATCAATATTCCACGGCCTCATACTTCTAATGCCCGCCCACTTGAAGCGCACCTTCATGCGACCCAAGAAGCCATTGGCAGCGGCGAGAAGTTCTTCCCGAGTGGGCCGGTGCGGCATCTTCGGTATGTGCAAATATTTCGACATGGTGGAGGCAATCGACTCCGCGTCGTGGTCTGATGTGTCGGCCTTGTCCTGATCTGTAGCCTTAGCATTTTGCTGCTTCGGCTCGGCCGCCGTGCCCTTTTCCTCGGGCTTCCCGCTTTCGGAGCTGTGATGCCTCCTCTCATTCGGTGCTGCGCTCCTGGAGTCGTTGTGTATGCCTCGTCGCCATGCTAGTCGGCCCAGCTGGTAGAGCTTCGACTTGCTCGTCAGCCCCGCACTCGCAGACTCGGCAGCAGCGGCGGCGCAAGTAACTACCGCAGCCTGCGAGGGCGAAACGTTGGTGGTGAAGCCGACCAACAGCAGTCCGCTCCCAGTGTAGCTTCGTTGCGCATTGTAGACGTTCGGTCGTGGAAACGAGTGTCGCCCAGAGTGGATGGTTCTTCGGAAAGATGCCGCCTTATAAGTCGGATTGGCAGCCGGCTGAGTAGCCCTGACGCAGGCGTTCCTTGTTGCAGCAGTTAAGATAGTCGTCCCTTGCAGACCCAGAGTCTGCGACGCCGATGCGCTGGCACAGGACCAGAAGCGACGCCCAAGAAGAGTCGTCGCAGTGTTAGACATGTCTCCAGCTCATCCTGTCTCTTGGTTGAACAGAGAGACAGCAGATGAGGAAGAAGAGCCGGTCGATTATCTACCTCGAAGGGTATGTGCGGGGGGTAAGGGGCGGCTTGCAACAATCGGATTGTAAACAAGATGCAAGAGAGAGAGAGAGGCACGGCAAATGTTAGTACATTTCATGCGCTCATGCAGATGTGACTGAGATGTAAACCTGCGCCAGGGAAGGCGCCTGTGAAAAGTCATCCATGACGCGCTACCACAGCTTTCGCTCGCTGAACCCAGCTGGACCCATTCCAAAGATACCTGACGTAAGGGGCGTCACCTCACACCAGCACCCCTCCTGCTGCTGGGAGGCTGGAGCCAGGGCAAAGAGAAAAATTTAGTCAAAAAGGCAGCATGGTCTGTGCTTCCGTAACCTGGGCCCCCTGCTTCCACTCATGTAGGCAATGGTTAGGTAGGGTGCATGGTGAGGCTTGTATGGCTGTTCTTTCTAAACCCTCAACGTTATTCCTTGAAGCCCCGAAGCCTGTTAAGAACTCTTCTGTAGGTAGTCCGAAATACTCTAGCCAGCCTCTCTCAATTAACGTGCGCTGTGACTCAGGAGAGCAGGATGAATATTGCTGCAAAAAGATGCCATGCTGAGCAAGGATGGTGGTGACACACAGTTCACTACGGAGACCGGTCTCCACTCTGCTCTGGTCCCCTCTTTCGTTTCTCAAGTCCGTGCCTTGACCCCCTCACCCAAGAGCCTCTGTCTCTGCTTATCCGCTTATCGATAAAAAAAAAACACAAAAATTTGGGATTGCAGTTTAATCGAATCGGTCTACAATTGATACCCGCCGCTTTTTTTCTTCACAATCGCCTGCCCCCGCCGCCGCCGCCAGACCGACTCGCCCCGACACACAAACCGGAGTCACTGACCGAAAAAAACGATACCCATTTTCGAGTCCTTGTGAATTTCCAGCGATCGATCCCAAGACCTGAGGAATCTTCGACCACCAACTTCCCCTTCCGAACCGCCTGCCCATCATGCCCGCCCCTACCGCCAAGCAGGTCGAAATCGCCGCCCCGCCGCCCGAGGCTGCTTTCCAGGAGGAGCAGCAGGACGAGGAGCTTCTGCTCGATGCGCCGACTGCGCTGCCCGAAGACCTGGATGCGATCATGCCCAGCGTGCCCCAGAACGGAGAGGAGAGCGAGATGGTCGTCGACGAGGAAAACCGCCCGCGCTTTGCGCCCGCTAGAGACATTGTGCGCCTACCCACATACTCGTAGAAGACTTGTTGATGTCAGGGACTAAACGTTGCTCCAGGACCCCGTCACCAGAATAGAGACCCGTAAGGTCCCGGTGCCTCCTCACCGCTTCACCCCCCTCAAGTCCGCCTGGCCCAAGAGTACGTTTTTTCGCACAATGTCTTTGAGGATCACCTTTGTCTGACGAGTGCGCGCCCACAGTCTACCCCCCTCTCGTCGAGCACCTCAAGCTTCAGGTCCGCATGAACCCGCGGAGGAAACAGGTCGAGCTCCGCACATCCAAGCACTCCACCGAGGACGGCGCCCTGCAGAAGGGCGAGGACTTTGTCAAGGCCTTTACCCTGGGCTTCGACGTTGACGATGCTATTGCGCTGTTGCGTCTGGACGATCTCTACAGTAAGCAATATTCTTGCGAAAAGGAGGCAATGTAGAACAGTTGCTGACAATACTGTAGTCGAGACTTTCGAGATCCGAGATGTCAAGCAGGTCATGGGCAACGAGGCGCAGGGCCGTGCCATCGGTCGCATAGCAGGCAAGGACGGCAAGACGAAGTGTATGTCGCTAGCATATCGCAAACCCGTCCTCCAAGAGATTATCACTAACAGCAGACGCAGTCGCCATCGAGAACGCCAGCAAGACCCGTATCGTCCTGGCCGACAGCAAGATCCACATCCTCGGCGCCTACAAGAACATCCACATGGCCCGTGAGTCCATCGTGAGCTTAATTCTCGGAAAGCCTCCTTCCAAGGTCTACGGCAACCTGAGAACAGTCGCCGCGCGCATGAAGGAGAGATTTTAAGAGAGGGAATACCAGCAAACAAAAAAGCTGGAATTGGACAAAAGAAAAGTGAAGGAAAAGTTTTAAAAGGACAATCTTGGGTGGTTTAATGATGGCATGAAACGACATCCTGTCATGGACTCCGGCGTTGTGGGCATTTTAGAGATTCCAAACCATTACATGGGCAGGGGGAAAATATGACGAAGCATTTGAACCAACATTGTCATGCTACGGGTGAAATCTCATGGAGAATGACCGACACGAAATCAACGGAAAAGCGTGAGTCATTTCACTCAATGGTCCTCATGACGTCGACTTACATTCCAAAGAAGTCTGGTACACATACTAGGTTTCTCTGGCACCGACATTACCAGAGGCTACAAAGTTCACCAAAAGTCCATTTCTGATTGCGGAACGAACCATGTCCATAATGCGTTACTCCATAGACGTCTATACGTGCCTACCCGCCGAAAAGACTTTTTTACATAATGGCCGCTCACCCGGCGGCCAACCTGCAAGCCAAGCCCTTTATCCAGGCGATTCGTCTCGATCAGGGGGATAAAAAAACTTTTCCCCTTCCCAGGTCACTCTTACTCACTGCCTCAACTTTGTCGTCTCCCGTTTCACAACCGCCATTTCGTTAGGTTAGATGGGAGCATTCAGATTCCCGTAGCTCACACACACTCTCTCGTAATTTTGTGTATTCTGTTTGACAGATTTACTCGTCGTCACCCTCGCCCTCCTCCTGAGGGGCCTCCTCCTGCTCATCGTCCTCGTCTAGGCTGCCGGCGGGCACCTCGTACAGACGAAGGATGGACTTGTTGGGGTCCTTGACGAGCACGTACTTACCGTCCTGCTCGCGCTTAAGACACATGTCGGCAATGGTGCGGACAATACCCCAACCGTTGGAGAGAGACAGGTTCATCTGGTTGGCAAAGTCGCGGGGCTTCCAGCCGACGACGCCGAGGATGACGTGCTTGTCGTTGGACTTGGGGTTGGCGCGAGACACGAAACTTTGGTGTTGTTAGTTTTACATCTTGGACAAAAGGGGGCAAATCGGTAATAAAAAGACATACCCAAGCTTCATGACATCGGCACGGGCAAGGATGGACTGGACAGTCCACCTGGCGAGCTTGCAGGAGTTGTTCTTCATCTCAGTCGCCACGACGGCACCACGTTGGCTGACAAGCTTGGTCCTCCAGTCAAGAGCACCACCGCTGCCCTGAGCCTTGCTGTCGAACTCGTTGAGCGCGTGCAGGGTGACGAGCTGGTCGTCGCCGCTGATGGCGTTCTTCTGAACGGCGTCGACCTCGGTACGGACGACAAGGTAGACGTTCTCCTCCTCGTCGTTAGTGGACAGGTCGAACTTGCGGTACTTGTAGGCCTTGCTGGCGGGGGGGTCGGTGTCCTCGGAAGAGTTGTAGAAGGGGTTGGCGTGGGGGAACTGCAGCTTCTGCGTCTCGTTCTCGATGACAACCTGGTTGGCGAAGTTGTGATTGATGTAGGTAGCCTCCTCGGCCAGGGCGCCGGGCTGGTTGAGGGCATCCTTGCTGCCGTCGGCGGCATCAAGAGGAGCGTCGGCGGCGTTCTCGTTGACGGTAACCATGTCGAGAGCAGCGTTGTCGCGCTTGTCGATGAAGACCTTGTTGCCCTGGACGGAGATGACGATGTCCCAGGGGTAGACGGAGCGGGGAGAGCACATGAGCATGGACAGAATGCTGTCGGTAGCGAAGATGGTGGCCTCGCCCTTGTCGGCAAGGTCCTGGATCACTGGATCGGAAGAAGTGGTAACGTTGTAAGCGGCACGGTCAATAGCGTTGAGCCTGCGCTCAGTGCCCTTAACAGGGGGCTTGTCGTAGGAGCGGTCGTAACCGTAGACGAAGCCGTAGGCGTCGATCTCCTCGCCCTCGTCGGCATCCAGGTTGAGCTTGGCGAGACGGTTGAAGTCGATCTCCTCCAGCAGCTTCCAGTCGGCCTTGATGTTGATACTGGCGTCACGGTTGCGGGCAGGCTTGTCGTAGTCCTTCCAGCCGAAACGGCGACCGCGCTGGCCACCGCCGGATCTGCCGCCACGGTCGAAGCCGCCGCCGCCGTAGCCCTGACGACCGCCCTGCTGGGTGCGGTTGATGGCCTGGCGGCCACCACGGGTGGTGGTGGCAGCTCCTCCGCGCTGACCACGGCCGCCGCGGGTGAAGACGGCGCCGCGGCCGTATCTTGTCTTGGTGCTGTCGCGGGTGTTGCTGACAACGGAGAATGTGGACTCGTCCTCGGCGGGAGGGGCGTTGAAGGAGATGGCGTGGCCAGCACCGTAGACTTGCTGGTCTGCAGGTGAATGTTAGCGACGATATTTTTGACATTCGTTCTCGGAGAGTGCACCTACCACGGTAGTTACGGTTGTACTGCTGTCTTCCTCCACGGCCATCTCTGTCCTTGCCCTCGGAGGTCCAGTCGGCCATGCGACCGAGCTTGTCGCCCTTGGAGAAGGGCGCATAGGGGACGCCATTCAGAGTGGTGTCGCTGGTGACTGGCGGGCCCCAACCGTCGCCGGCCGGGCAAGTCTCGACGAGCTTGACCCAGTCGATTTCCTGAGCCATGATGAAGAACGTGTGTGTGAGTGCGTCCTGGGATGGGCTGCACAAGCGTTCGGGGGGAGTCGGTATTGAAGGGCGCTTTTGCGGGTGGCAGCGGCGGGCAGCGATTCGGCTCTGGAGAGGGAAAAGTCGTTCAAGGGTTTGGGCTGTGCCGTGTGCGCCTCCTCTCGCCGTCGATTTTCGACGTTCGGTTTTTGGTGGGGTGAACTTTGTGGGGCAGAGCGGGCAAAATTTCGTGCACTGCACTGCGTTTCCGACACCTGGCGGCCACTGGCACCCACTCGTATCCACGCGACGCGGGGCCACTACATACCACCTGAGCGGTCTGCCACCTTCGTGTGTCCACGGTCTGCGGGCAGTGAATAAATAAGTCGATGCCTGCG